GATTAGGAGAAAATACATAAAGAACTCAAATAACTAATGGTGAGAAGATAAATAACCCAACCAAATAATAAGGAAAGAACTTAGATACTTCATAAAAGAAGACATACAAATGGCCAACAGATATATGAAAAACTGCTTATCCTCATTGGTCAGGAAAACACAAGTTAAGGCACCAATGAGGTATTGCCTCACAAATGCTACAAAGGCTATTACCTGAGAGATACAGGGTAGAGCCCAGGGAAAGTGTCCACAAGAAGGAGAGGAGGCCATTCCAGGGACTGGAAAGGCTTTATTAGAAAAGAGCAGAGAAAACACTGAGTAGAGTCTGACCAGGAGTCAGCTTAGCTTTCACACAGTTTCAAGAGACTTTTATCACCCCATATCAGTAGGGTTGAATGTGGGAGGGGGAATCTTAGAGGGAGTCATCCCTTCTGTAGAGGGACTAAGTTTTGCACTTAATGGCCAATATAGGCATTACTCTCTTAATTGGCCAGAGTAAAAATTACTGTTCTATTGTTTCCTAGAACATGGGCCTTGAAGTATTAAAGGGGTGGGGAGGGCATATGTTATGATTATACAGTGTGGTTTCTGGTCTGCTTTTTCCTACCAGCTATTCCTCCTAATAGCTATGGTAGGGTCATGAAGATTTCTTTCTCAGATTATCAAAAAGAAAAACCATAGCAAATGGTGGTGAGGATATGAAGAAAAGGGAGTCCTGTGTACTTTTGGTGGGAATGTAAGTTAATACAGCCATTGTGGAATGCATTTTTGAGATTATTCAGGGAACTAAAAATAGAATAACATGTGATTCTGTGATCACACTTCTGAATTTATAATCAAAGGGATTTAAATGAATATACCAAATGAATACACCAAAGACATTCTTATATTTATTCCAGCATTATTCACGATAGGTAATATATGAGAGCAATCTAGATATCCATCCTCAAATGAATGGATACAGAACATGTGATATATATTATATATACACAATGGGACAGTACTCAGCATTCAAAAAGGAGGAGATCTTGTTGTTTGCAATAATATGGATTAGCCTGAGGGACATTATTATAAGTAAAATAAGTTAGGCACAGAAAGAGTGATATCATGCAATCTCAATTACATGTGGAATCTAAAAAACTAAACTCATTACAATAGAGAGCAAAATAATGGCTATAATAGGCTGGAAATGGGGGGATCGGGAAAAGGAAGATGTTAGTTAAAGGGTACAAAGTTTCAGTCAGACAAAAGAAAGAAACTTTATATAAGTCCAAAGAATGTGGATTATAATAAACAATCATTCTTTATATATTTTCAAAGTTGCTAAAAGTGGATTTTAGACTTTTTCACCACAAAAAAAAAGTTTTTGATTACTAAGACCGATTTAATAATTCTACATTATAAATATATATCACATGTATTATGGAAAATCTTTCCCTGCAAGGCTTTTGCATTGATAATGAAGTCCAGACTCTTTGCTCTGCCCTGGCCCTGGCTCAGATCTGATCTGTGTTCTCCCCTCTCTGCTCATAGTATCCTGTTGTTTTCCTTCTTCAGTCTTCCTAGCATTCAGGGTTTTATCCTTGATGTGAATTTGGTCAACTCCATCACTATGTCAGAGTGGCTGCTCTGACTACTCTGTGTGGTGAATCACGTATTTCCTTGATGTCATTACTGCCATGCATGACCACATTATGTGTTCTTATGTGTTCATGCTCACTCCAGCGCCTGGCTCAACAAGGGCGAAGACTGCACCTATTCATCAATCCCTTCACTTATAGTGACAAAAAGCATGTCACAAAGGTAGGGATTGGCGCTTGTCTTGAATTAATAAGAAGCAAATGGGGGTGAATGGACTCCAGCAATCTCCCAGTTGCACTTGTCAGGTGGAAATTATGGAGGCCATTGTTTAGCTTGGTCTTAACCCATCAGCTCGTTGTTGTTTGTTGTAGTTGTTGAACAAAGACTACATTTTTCTTTTAATTTATTGTTTCAGGTTCATTGAGGCTACAAAGAATTACATTACACTGTTTGCTTTTGTTAGGTGAAGTCTCTTTTATGATTATGTTTCACCCCCCAATAGGTACTAATTAAATTTTTAATTTCTCCAGGATGTACTATAGTACACTTTTTATGAAGAATCATACCATTGGTAGTTTTTTGAGATCAAACCCATGAAGAATATTTAAAATCCAAAACTAAAACATAAAAACTAATCCTAGAGGTCATATTTAGATCATAAAAATTAACATATCCTTAAATACAAGAAGAGAACACTGGTAGAAAATAATGAATGAATATATCCTAGATGGAGGAATCTGGGTCATTGTTCATCACTCATTTGAATAAGTAAAACAGTATGTGAGCAATAACCTTTAACTTTGGTTAGAGAAAGTATCTGCTTCTATTTTCTCTAGATCTATCATGTAGAATGTTCATGATTTCCCTGAACTTGCATCACATGGGCACAAAGAACATAACCACAAACACATGCCCCAGCAATATCTGCCATAGCACTCCTTTCTTTTGTGGGGTACCCAGATCAACACATGGGGCTCTTGTTCATGCAGATGCAGGGGAACACGGAGACTCAGAGCCTCAGCTCTGATGCAAAGAAAACCAGCTTCCGAATTCAATGCTTCCCTTCCCAGCTCTGACCTAAGGCAATTTTCACCTTTTCTTTTCTGATTTTTTATTAGTTTCAGTTTTATCTCATCATGGCTCTGAGTGGTCATTCAACATGGAACAAATATTAGAACCATAGTGTTGGAGTGAAGGTTAACTTATATACACAAAAGAAACATTTACAGTTAGTATATATTAGCTAGCTTTATCATCCTAATGATTATGATGATTACAATATTCTATCAGCTTTAATTTAAAAGGTGGCATAGACATAATTAAATATATTATTATAAGCAGTACAGAGGTAGAGAGGTGGGGGAAGAACATAAGTGTAGATGAAGATGGGATGTGAATTTATGGACTCAAGCTATGTTCCTACCTTACCCTCTGAAATAGCTGAAACTACAGATGTGCATCACTATGGACGAATTTTGAGTTATATATGTATCTTAGTAAAATGGTAAAATCAGATAGACAATCATAAGATGTAAGGAACAGAATTTTCCAGGCATAGAATATTGTCTTATCTAAGACTGAGGGGAATAGAGGACTGTAGGGACAGGCTAGAGGTCTAGAGAAACAGTGATAGAAACTGATAAACAGGTAAAATATACATTTAACAAGCATTTGAATATAAATTTAAGGTTCAAAATTTTGTGAATCCAATATGAAATCACAGTTTGTGGAATGACAAGATCAGATGTATATTTTGGGGAAATAACTTGGATGGCAATGAATACATTTTAATTTTGAAATGGAATAAAATCATACAAACACTTCAGAAGGAATTAAGAGGCTAAAGAAAGATAGTGAGAGCATAAACTTGGGGAATAAATGGAAGTGTTAGACTCTTCTGAGACTTATTTTTTTTTCCATAAATATCAGAACTCTTACATAAGTCCATTTATGGGTAGACCTGAAGTAACTGAAGTATATAAATATAATAAGGGCAATAAAAACCTTTGTTAAACACAATATTAAATATATTAGCATATAACTTCAACCTATGCAAGGCTATTTTTGTATTTTACATTACAGCTGAAACGTGAAGTCCCTGTACCCATTTTTTTCTGTGTTATATGTTATAGCTTCCTATTCATTTATCTCCCTGCCTTTAAGTACATAACTTTTTTCAGTACAAATAACTTTCTTAAGGTCGTTTAAATATATATAATAGGGTGTTTAAAAATATATTTCACCTCCATAGGTGAGCACCTCCCTACATTGACTACCTCCTTAAATTGACCCAATTTTCATACCCAGACATGTACCTATCAGTACAATAGGCCCAGTTTCTTATGTTCACCACTGCAGTATGTTGACCAGTTTCTTAATGTTCCTTGGGTGATATAATTGTTTTATTAACTTGAATGTAGAAATGAATGTGGATTATTCTTCTATCATCATTCATGTTACTTAATTTCAATATTTTTATTGAAATAAGAAAAATCCTAAATCCAATAAGCTGTCTGTGATTAATTTTGTAAAAAGATAAATAGCAATAACAATCACAGTCAAGATGCAGATAACAATCACAGTGAAGATGCACATCCTAAAAATAAGGACAGATAAAAAAACTCACAAGCACCACTTTATTTTTTTTTTCTTTTAAATCATAGCTGTGTACATTAGTACAGTCATGGGGTACAGTGTGCTGGTTTTATATACAATTTGAAATATTTTCATCAAACTGGTTAACAAGGCCTTCATGTAATTTTCTTAGATATTGTGTTAAGACATTTATATTCTACATTTAGAAAGATTCACATGTACCCTTGTAAGATGAACCATAGGTGTGGTGCACCACTTTAACAGACGTATTTTCTGTGCTACTTCTCATCTAATCAAGATTGTACACATCACAAGTATACTTTTATATACTGCAAACACACACACACACATGTATATGTAACCTGTGAAAACAGGTTATTGGGGGCTCTAAGTCTGTGCTGTCCAAAACTGTAGACACTGGCCCTGGGTAGCTATTGGTCGCTTGAAATGGACATTGTTCAAAGCGCAGTGTGCTCTAAGTAGAAAACAAATATGAGACTTTGAGACTTAGAATGAAAACAAAGTAAAAGATTACTTTAGCAATTTTTTGTTAATTACCTATAGAAATTATATATAAATATGATTATGTAATAGCAATAAGTCAAACTTACATTGCATATAATATTCTAAAATAATACACTATATACTTAATATCAATATTATCGATGTTATAATGATAATCATATTTTGTATTAAATAAATATATAATATAAGTTAATTTTACTGGTTAACTGTGTCTATGGGAAAATTATATTTCTTGGAAAACACTGTTCTAAGTTGTTCTAATCAATAAGCAAAAGGGAAATATAGAAGTAGAGCCATAATTATTCTTTAGTGGAAGAGAATTTCCCAAAAACTCTTTTCACGGCCCCTAGGACTTCCTTATTCCTTAAAGTATAGATAATGGGATTGAGCATAGGAGTGAAGATGGTATAGAAGACTGCTAGGATCTTATCTTCTTCTGGTGAGCGGAGATTCTTGGGTCGAAGATAGGTGTAGACAAAAGGTGCACAATACAAAGTCACTACAGTCAAATGTGCTGAACAGGTGGTGAAGGCCTTTTTTCTTCCTGCCTTTGAGCGCATTTGGTAGACAGCAAATAGGACCCGGCCATAGGAAGCTATGATGCACAGGAAGGGAAGAAGGAGAAAGAGGATTGTGCTCAAAAAAACCATGTCTTCATAGAACCAAGTGTCCAAACAAGCAAGAGACAACATGGCTGGGACAGCGCAGAAGAAATGATCAATAGCCCTAGACCTACAGAAAGGAATTTGGAGGATGTAAACTGTGTGTGCCAAGGAGTTGATGGATCCCGCTATCCAAGATCCTATGATCATTTTCACACACATTCTTTTACTGAGGCGGATTGAATAATGGAGGGGGTGGCAGATGGCCACATAGCGGTCATAGGCCATGGATGCCAGGAGTAAGCCTTCAGAACCTGCCATAGTCGAGAAGAAGAAGATTTGTACTCCACATCCCAGGAAGGAGATAATTTTCTGGCCAGAGAAGAAGTTTAAAGCCATCTTGGGGACAGTGGTGGAGATGTACATCAGGTCCATAAGGGATAGTTGGCTGAGCAGAAAGTACATGGGTATGTGGAGTCGGGGATCCATGTGTATGAGGTGAATCATAGTCAAGTTACCCACCATAGCCAGGAAGAATATGAAGATGATAAGGAACAAGAGAAGGTGGCCGGTTTGATTTTGGGGAAACAACCCCAACAAAATGAAGTCACTTGAAGTGTGATTCCATTTCTCCATGAAAATTTACTGCTTGAACTTCCTTGAAAGAAAAATAAACACAAAACATGAAATGAAATAGAACAAGAGAATATAAAGAAACTTATTTATTATAGAAAGAACTGTTTTTCTTTCTTCTAACACTGTAGCATTGTTGAGTGGGTTTCCATATCCAAATTGAATGTTTCCTTTCTAATTGTGTTTGGTCACCATCTTAGAAATTCCTAGATATAAATGTCTTTCAGTATAAAGTCTCACACTAGAGGCAGAAAAGATAAATATAGTAACTAAAACATTCCTCTCCTGGTCATACACATTACTCATGAATTATCAGTAAGTCACAGGAACCAAGAAAGGGAGAAATATCTTCCTTAGTTTATCAATTGAATGTGGTTTATTTACCTTAGAACTAGGTTGTAAGACTCAGAAGCTTTCTGTAGTCTGAACTGACATTCTGCAACATCATCCATTTAGCTCTCTTGTATGTCTCTAATTTCTCATTTTACCTCCCCAGTTGGCTCCAGTCAGATCAATCTTAATACTTCATCTTTTGCTTGAAATTAAGCTTCTTATTTTTTCAAGTGGCATTTCTGTGCCCCTCCTAAAAATGTGCCCAATATCGCAAATCATTGTCCTCTATAAAATATTACATGACCTATAAGATCCACCCAACAAACAAAATATTATTTGAATATTCTCTTTTCTGCAGTGATGGTTCCACATTCTGAAACCCCATGGAACTCAAAATCAAATGCATAAATGTTCATATACTTTTATTCATGTAAGAAAATTATAATTATAAAGGGTATAGATTACATAATATGAATTTTTATTCTATTTTCCACAGATGTAAATTATAACTAGTGTGATAAGAGAAATATAACAGGGGAATGGAGATTACATTTTGAGTGTGTGTATCTTTCTCTTTGTACAGAAATATATATGTATACATGCTCTGTATATGTATATAAGCCATCTTTGAGACACCATAAATTATGTAAACTATTCTTCACAATACTTTATTTATTATAATTCTACCACAACACAAATTCTATAAATTTAGCATTAGAATTTTCACTTTCACTCCTTAAAAGTAGTACTTATAGATATGAAAAAATAACTTTAACTGTTACTTCAAATAACCCTGGTAGCCAAAATAATATTGCAAAAGAAAAGTAACCATAAAGAAATAAGACTGTATGTTCATTGATGTCTAATCAACAAACACTAACAGTTAAAAGTGCATAGTCTGGAACAAGACAGGGACACAGTATGTCTGGACACAGATGCTAGATGGTATCACAGTTGTCCTGTGCTTCTTATAACATTATAAAAATAAAAACTAATAACCTAATAAGTATAAATAAGGCATACAAGCACCATCATTATGATATATTCATTCCCTCAAAAAGTATTCCCTATGTTTCTGTTTAATGGTAGAGCAGCTTCTCTGTTTTTGTGCCAGTACCATGCTGGGTTTTTTTTGGTTTGTTTTTCAACATTTTTTTTTTATTAGATCATAATTGTGTATATTAATTCTATCATAGGATACAGTGTGTTGCTTCCATATGCAGTTTGGAAAACTCTCATCCAACTGGCTAACATAGCCATCATGTCTTTCTCATAATTGTTGTGTTAAGACATTTATATTCAACCTTCAGACAAATTCACATGTAC